CATAAACAACTACAACTAACCTTTAACAAAAGGATATGGGTTAAACGGCGGAGGAAAATTGGGTTCGTAGGGTAACAGCGGATAACCACCTCCGTATCCTAAATTCATGTTGATGGTAAACTTTTCAAATTCTTTACCTTTCCTTTTTCTTTTTAAAATTTAATAATCCAATCTTAATTACACAATTAAGCCCCCGAAAAATGTATCACTGAGATTTTATCTGATCTAAAGAAATGAGTCCTTTCAATAAAAGAATTCTGATTGGATCAACAGTGATGAAACACACTTGTTCTGAGGACAATTTAGTTATCTTTTGTGTTTAATAAATTATTCAAATAACTGCTGGATATAAAGTGATAATTTCCCAAAGACCTTACATAAACTCCTAAAATGTTTTATCTTTCCTTTCATTGAACTCTGTTAAGAACTGAGAGTTGTAATGCCACAATCAAGAACTTGCTTTAAAAATAAATACTATCAAGTAGACTGATTTTGGGGCATTTATAGAGAACTCAAATATTTTTTTAACATGTCACTGCACATGTATATACTGTAATGGGACTTACAAAATATTTATTTAATCCATTCTTAGAAATATCATACAGGAAAATAATTACCATACACAAAAGAAGCACATTAAATTTTTATCAAGAAATAATAGGTCACAAAAGAAAAAGAAATTAATTATTAATTTTATTATAACAAAAATGTCTACTGAAAACATATACTAAAGAAGGCTGTCTCTTAGGTGTACATTAAGAATGTTTTTGCACACCTATTTAAAATTTACCAGAGAGCAATATTTACTTGATCATTCCTAAAAAATAGAAACTAACAGTGTTTCTTGTTCAGAATCACTACTATGAAAGTCCAGCAAAAAATAGTATTTTTAGTTTTGAATTATGCTTCCTGATTTTTTTATGATTACCATTAATGAACAACAAAAACAGAAAAACTGGAAAACAGACTGGATAGAAATATGCACAAAACAGTTCTCTTCTCTTTCTACTTGCAGCTACTCTGAAGTTATCTAATGGTATTTAAATTTGGTTGCCACCATCACTGCATACAAATTAATAGACGTTGATTCTTGAATAAGGAAACAGATTAGTTACCGGTTACTGGTTTCCAAGCTTGTGAAAAGCAACACTCCCCTACAGTTTTCCTTTCAAAAAAATAGCTAACTAACTAAATAAATAAACTCTCTTCAAACTTTCAATTTTCAAGAAATTCATAATGTACTGATAATAAAATGTCATGCACACAAATTGCGAGGTTTCAATCATATGGACACAATATGTACAGGATTCATCCAGAGACTCAACAAGTTGGAACTACATACAGTGATGTATAATACCTTAAATAGCAAAACACCATTTTAAGGCTACACAATAGCAGTTTCAATGTGAAAGTGAGTTGAAGGAAACTACTAGTATTAAGCTAGAACTGAACTTCTAATGTAGAATGAGTTTACTGGGAGCAAGAGTTCAATAATAATGTAAACTTGAAATACACTATATGAAGTCTAGCAGAGCAAGATTTAAATGGCAGTGACTTCACCCAAATACATGTAAGTAGAGTATACACCAAAACAATAAAATATTCACTGACTATGAAGCAAATTATCTGACTACGGTGCATCCTTTGCCCACAAAGGTAAAAAGGATTCTTTATTTGATCGAGACAAGTTATTTTTCAAATTTAAATTAGGGAAAGTCAGATGAGTCGCTCGAAATAGTCACAATATTGAGCTATTAAAAATTTCAAATGCATGTGATAGTTCTTTTTGGGGTGTGAACAGTTCAGTGATTTGGGGTAGCATAATTGGCACAAACAAAATAACAAGTGTATAAAATTTTATGACCTCTACTCCATACAGTGTACAAAGCACTATCTGAAAAATCTGATGAGGGTGTTTTGCAGGATTGTCAATTGTAGAAAAACAGCCAAAAGGGAAAAGTATTATATGACATTGACTCTCTCTTCATAATAAAGTAAGCCAAGATATCAGACTAGACTGATTGTTTAAAACAAGGGCCATTAAAGCAAGCAATAACATAGAAGAACCAAAATTGCTTCATAAAGTCCAATACAACCTGGGCTAGCTTTTTAACAGGAACTTTTCAAATATAGTATGTGTAAGCATCTGATCATTTAATAAATTGCCCTACTGCACAAACATACATGTAATAATAATACAGTCTACTCTCTCTTAACGGAGACCTCTATAAGACAGGACACCTCTGTAAAATGGACACCTAGAATTGGTCCCTGCCTTTGTTTATTCCCTTTATTTGACTCTTTATAAGACGGACACCTCTCTAAGACTGACACTCAGTGCCGGTCTCAAAGGTGTTCGTCTTGGCGAGAGTTGACTGTAATTAACAACAAACTACAGTGTAGATTAGACACATTCCAGAGTACTTTATAACTGGGGTAAGGCAGGCCATCTGATATTATGCGATGGTGCAATTTCACATAAGAGACCTCAAATCGCATCTGATCCCACAATTTGAGGAAAATTGCATAATTCATAAAAAGAAATGCTAAATTCGAGTAAAATAAATAATAAATTCTAACTTTAATCACACATTATCCCAATCTTAATGTCATTTAAGGTGATTTACCACTAAAGAAAGCCTTGCAAGACATCTGAAACCTTCGATCACGGTATCTGGGCAGCCATTTTGATTTCAGAGACAAGCAGTGTGGTCAGTGGTGTAACGACATCATGTAATAGTAAACTAGTGTCCTTTTTCTTTCTTTTTTATTTGTTTTCTTTTCCAGGTAAAAAAAAATTGGACAAATTTAACTATTTTGTTTTAAAATAGGTGTTGTATTATTCTTTTACATTCAAATTGCCTGTTAAACAACATTGAAGTGACTTTTCTCTTTTGAAACTGGTAAAACAATGTTAATTAGCCCTGAAAAAATTGCATAATTTATTGCATAATAGTCCTATCTTATCGCACAATCTACCCTGAAAATATCGCACAATTTCTGATTTTTTATCGCACTCTATCAGATGGGATGGTAAGGGGTGAGGGAAGGAGGGGGTAGGGAGTCTTGGGCTACCATGACATCCTTAGGTGCCCATGGTTAAATTTTAGGCTTTAGATACATGTGGGTATTTTGGAGTCACGTAAGCCGATGGATGTGTGTTGAGTGTGCTCTGCAAGGTTTTCCTTCTTCTTCTTTCTTAAAAAAAATGTTCTAAATATTGCCTTCCTGGATTTTGATAGTGTGTTTCGTTTACATGTTTCATCCTGACGTATATTGTGCCTGAGTCTATTGCCAACATAAAAAGAGAAAACAAACCAACTCAAGTCTCAAGTTCCTACACTGACGTAAATTTCTTGCCTCAGAAGATAATTATGTTGAAGTCCCGACCTTATTAAGCTGTTTAACACATTATCTTAGTCTCTCTTAGTAATCATTATTTAACAACTTTGTTTTAAGTTAGTTTATTCTATTTATTGTATTGTAGTTCATTGTTGTTTAGTCCATCTAATAGATGATCCTTGTATTGTAAATATGTCCTTCCCCCCAATCTCGATAACAGTGTAGTTCAACATGATATTTGCAGGTAAAAAATAATGTAATTAGTTATATATTGTTGTCATTGTAGTTAACCTGAAAGATGATATGCCAGTCTTAACAGGCACTGTTAAATAATGCACAATAAAGCACAGTTCGGCAAACATACTGAAGCTTGCCAATGGAGGCCACATGCACTGTTTACAAAATTAAATGCTGTGCACCAATTCCTATTCCCCACCCCCCCCCCCCACTCTATCTTATTTCACATTTACAAAAAGTGATGTTGATGTGGTCAGACCAGATATCTACTTGCTCCATTCGTTCAAAAGTTGAATACAGTGAAACCTGTGTTAATAGACAAACAACCGCAGGACCTTCACTGGTGTCTGTTTAAGAGAGGTGTACACTAAATACACTTTTTACTTAAAATATAATGTACATGTATGGGGAGAAACGTTTGAAACATAAAAAGCTACTTGTCTGCTTAACACAGGGTGTCTGCTTAATATAGGGTACTGCTACCTGGATAAACCTAAATCCAGTGGAAAAATTCCTAATACTTTCCTGCATAGCGATTTATCCGGTAGATAGTACTATCAACCTTTTAGGCCCAAATGGATAGATCAACATCCAGAGGAAAGGGCACTAACTGCAATACCCACTGTACTGGATAGAGATTAATAGTCAGAGGATAGTAGGTCAAGATCGTCTTGAGTTAAATACAGTCGCAAAGTTCTGCCCTAACAGATTGCCCTTAATCATCCTTACAATTAAATTGTCCTCAAAGACCTCTTGGAGGAACTTGCTTTTATATCGATATCCCAACTACTAGTAAACAAAAGGCGTGTAGTGCTCTCAATGAAACTTACATGATCAACACGAGTCCTGAAATCTACAATGTCAAGTACACGTTTTGTTCATCTCAATCTATGACCAGTTTAACTGAGTTCAACAAAGTAATTAAAGTGCTAATTTGCATGAGACAGTGACGCACTGCGAACAACAGAATGTCAAGCTTACCTTCGTGTTCCTCGTGAAGAACATATTGCGCCGGTATGGGTCCTGGTAAGCCGTACTCCGCGGGCATGGCTGTTACAACTTGGTGAGAGCCATCGTCTGTCCTTTCCACCGCGGATGGAGCGCTTGCAAGACTCCCATCTACAACGCCAACTTCATCAGTAGCAGGGACAACAGCGACTTGCACTCCACCTGGGACGTTCGTAATAGAAAGGTGCCCTCGATCGTCACCCAAACCAACGTGAGTTTCGTTTTGTACTTCGGGTCGGTTATCCATGACTTGTTGTACTCCTCTAATACTGACTTGTTCAGCGCCATGGCCGTTCGTGCTCGCCTGGGCGTATGTTACTAGCCCAGTCTGTGGATAACCGCTAGCTTGGCCGCTGTCAGGCTGCGCTAGTCCATCTGCGTTTTCATTTCTCGCTTCCTCAACACCTTCCATCTGGCTCTGGACTGACAACTCACTAACGCCATTTCGGGAACAAAAAGAAGAAGTAAGTGTGCAATCGGTCGCTAGACGTCCTAGATGCCCCCTAAAATGTCGCCTTCAAAACAATGCAAGCCCACGGGGCCTACAATTGCGAAAAACACCCGGAAAAATCGATGTAAACAACTCGAGGAGAAAATGGAGTAGACAAAACGAAGGCGCGAGACTCGAGCGGTGAATTATCAAAACGATTCGAAAACTTCCGAGTAAAAAATGGGCAATCTCAAAGGCAACAAATATTATTGGTGGAGGGCGTGAAGGTAAAACAAACCTTTCTCGATTTTTTGTTGGCTAGCCGGTGTTTCGTTTGAGTTAGAACAGCCAACGAAAACGCGAGTTACAGATCGCATACGAGTGGCTACCGCGTCCTCTTCTTCACCACTCACAAACGAGCTCCAAGGGCACAACTTCCACACGCAGAGATCACACGTCAATCAAAACTACCATCTGCCACAACAAGCCAATGAGAAAGTAAGAAATACAAACCATTGTTGTATTCAGCCAATAGGAGCAGTGGTTGAAATATAACACTAGCTAGGTTTGCATAAATTATACATCTTTTATATTTATTTCTGTTTTATATTATATCTCCCAAACAGTTCAGCAATAAGAAACAGCCATTAAAATAATTTCAGTTACATCGCTCTTCGAAAGAACATCAAAAGATTCTAAAACTGTCTGCTTTGAAAAAGGATTAATTTGAAAATTTCGTTGAAACCACTTCTTCCCTCAAAAGTTTGTTTTTATTCTCTCATATTTGCCGACAATGAATTATGCATAAAGTTTGAGGGATTTACATCGAAAACGCAAAAACCTTCGTCTTTATACTACATTCGCTTCGCAATAATTTGCATCGCCGGCAATATTTTCAACGGTATTTTTTTTATATATTAAATCACTATTTATTCATTCATTCATAAATTCTAAAAGTGCTACTAACAATAACCCTTTTTTCGNATATATATATATATATATATATATATATATATATATATATATATATATATATATATATATATATATATATTTTTATGTTTTATTTCATTTTATTTTATTTTTCTACGCTTATTTCCTTAGAAAGTTTGGAGCTATGGCAGGGTGTCCACATGAATCCAAACATTTTTGACACCGCATTTATATATATTTTTACATACATACTTCGGTTAGCGGATTCTCTGGTTTCGCGTGGACGGAACTTCGATTCGTGTAAAACATTTCAAAAATATTCAGGTTCATGTGGATGGGGCCTCAGCCACGACAAGTGATGGGACGCAAAAATTATCAGCGTGATTCGTGATCGGGCCCAAATTAGTCGCCTGAGGACTGATTTTGCCTAGCGGCGTGATGCGTGATTTACCGTATATCACAACGCGTGACGCGTGATTTTCCTTTGAAACTAGAAGCAGAGACATTATTAAAAATAGATAGTTATGACAACTTCTTGCCCTTTTTTCTCGTTCCTAATTCCTCGACCTCTGATTGATGGTGATAGAATACTTGTTAATGTAGTTAATGTTTTATTTTATTTTTCTTTGATGCGTTGCCAGTTCAAGAGCCCGCGCGAGGGGCAAGCGGCGAGGCCCTAATCTGCACTGAGATTTTACCGTTTTCCGGCGCGTGGGCCTGAAGACCAAAAAAGGACGACCGCTCCCGGTCTAAAGGTTGGCCCAAATATCGCCATTTTCCTTCCAAGTCGTCGAAAGCCAAACACATAATTTATAATTGAGGTCTGGGTTTTCTGTGATTCCAATGTGCTTTTAGGGTTTTAAACATACCGGTAACCAAACAATCGTGACTTTGCTCCTTTAGAGTTCTTAGACCTACTGATGTAGCATACGCGGTAGACTGTTGACAGTCCCCTATATCGTCAGCATCCAGCGCTTACCGGTACGGGCGCGGGCAGCCATCTTGGTTTCATATCACCGACGGGGCGGGCGTTGGGTTTATAGTGTAACGCAAGGCGCTCGATCTTACATTATGAACAGTCTACATCCTACATGCGCGGGACCTGTGTGGAACACAGTGGGTGGGGACCTAACAGGAACACAAGAACTCTTGGTGTATCTTGGGGGCGGGGCAGGGGAGTAGGGGGATCCGTAGCCCCCCTAAACAGAAGTTAGGGTGCAAAGTTCCCCACGTTTTGGTGCTGAAAAACACTGTTAGGGGGGGTACACAAACTCTTACCGATGTATTTGATATTACTCGCGACATCGGCGGCTTTCTGCCCTCTGACGACTCAATGGAACGCTCCATCAACCTCGTCCCTCGGGCTTTTCCCATTTTTTCAGAAAAAAAGCGCTGGGGACGAGGTTAAAGCACCATGAAGCACAACTACCTATTGACATCCTGTGACTAATCGATCACGGACACACTAGACACTGTGAAGATTACAAAGCGGTTTGCTTGTTCTAAACTACGCAAGGGTCAATTTGGAAAATTTAAGTATGGGTATCACTATGCCACGGCCGAGTAAAAGACGAACCCCTGTCCTACGATGTAAGAAAAGGAAGCGCTTTCGTTTTATTCCTGAGTGCAATCACGCACAGGAAAGTCATGCATGTCAATTTTATGGGTTAATTATCATTATTTTATTACTATTATTTTTTTTTTTTTTGCGGGACCATAGCCTCCACGCGGACTTCCTTTGGGGTTCGCTTGTCACGCATTCATTTCGAGAAATGAATGCGCGACAAACGAACCCCAAAGGACGTCTGAGGGGAGGCTGGCAGGATCACGGTTTGTTGACATCCAATAAATTTTGCTACCATGACAACGTGACGTAACGAGTTCTCCTCTCTATGCTCATGGGCGACTGAGAAGCTCTTGGAACAGAAAACAGGAATGGATAAGGAAAAAATAAACAAACAACAGAAACAATGGGCCCTATTCCTGAAACACCAGAGCTTCTAGCCAGGAAAAAAAAATGAAATTAGAGGTTGACAGCAGATGCACATGGAGGGGAGGGAAGGGGGAGGAGGTGGTGTTAAAAAAAATGACTGACATGTGAGGTGCAATACGATCGGAGTTAGTTTGACATTTTCAATTCAAGTGAAATTGGTTAGACTGAAACAGTGAAAAATAAAGTCTTAAAAGGAAATGAAAGAATGAGAATTTTAAAATATTTTGATTTTTTCATGGTGCTGATGCAATTTTTTGAAAGAAAAAATATCATAAAATTATCACATTTCTGGTTTTTAAAATTTTTAAAATGTTACCTTAAGGAAATTATCATAATCCCGAAGCAAGCTCCATTTCTTAATTAATGGTACTTTTAGTCATGAAAGACAAGAGGTTGACAAGATTATTTTGATAACAGTAATTTGCTCACATACGTATTCTGATATGAATTTTGTCAAACCTCTGTGTCACTTTATTTTCCACCTGAATTTAAGCTACAAGGACATCAAAGGGGAGATGAAGACTGTCAACCATCAACCTATGACCTATTGTGGTTTTGCTCTTCAAAGAACATCACTAACCATCATACCCCCACCCCCCACTGCCCTTAGACTAATGGCATGTAATTTCGAATAAATAATATAATTTTATTCTCAATAATGCCTCCCATTTCCTCTTTGGATGGGATCTTTTTACATAGAGCCTTTTTTATCTAAGGAGCTGACACAGGAGCCTTGCTTTACAATTATTGCAGTTTAAAAAGACAACTAATAGAATCTCCTGGTGTCTCTTCAAAGTCGTTTACAAAAAATATATTTAATATTACTTATCAAGGAGTGCTAAATGCTCCAATCTGTGGTCAGAAAATCTGGTTCTCATAAATAATAGACATGACATCAGAATGGACTCCAATGTACCAAATTCTTGCATATCTCGCCTCGCCTCCAGAGAGGCACTGTTTATGCAGCTGGAACTGATCAAAGAAAGAACATGACTACTGGCTAACTTCAGAAGACTCCTTTATGTGTATTGATGCCAATCTTTCCACATCATCCAGGCTGAGGGACCATATCCAAGACTTGAAGTCCTGTTTGCAATGTAAAGAAGGCCATCAAATTAATCAGGATGGCATTTGACAAGCTCACTAAATTAAAGTTTTAAACAATATTATAGTTGTGCTTTCAAAAAACTCATGCTACATGTACATTAATCCCACATAAATAATGACCCAGGGTGTTTTCTGGTTTAAAGAGCACCTGTCCATAAAAATCAAACATATTGCAGCACGGGTGGAAAATTCAACTTGTTTCATATTTTAATGTTGGATAGGCTAGGGTATAACTAAAATCACTTTCTGTTGGTTTTTTGGGGGGGTTTTGTCTTTTTTTGCAGTGAAATAGGCTTGTATTTTGACAGAGAAAAATGGAATAGCCAAAATGCGTTAAAGTTGTCATTTGGGAGGCTCAATTGTTACGCACGTTTTAGAGCCTTTTTAGTCAGAATAACTGAGATCTCTCACATGCTGATTGTATGAGAGCTATGGTTTATACAGCAAAGATGTGATGATGGCACAACTTCGTTTCCCCTGGAAATGGATTTTTTCACCAGAAATGGATGTCAATAAAACTGTCAGTGTTATCATAAAACAAACAAACAAACAAACAAACAAATAGACAACAGTCTTCTATACTGGTCTGTTCTCTCCAAAGAAACTATGTCAAAATGTTCAAAACATTACAATGAAACCACTTGCTTGCAGCTGGTGGTTCCATCTGACACTTGAGTTTTGAACATTTTGTCATCTTTTAATAGTCCACATAAATTAAGAAGAGTACAGACCAAGGAAAACAGCAGTTGGTT